TCGGGACTGACCTGAAATGAGGAGAATACTCAATGCTGATCACTTAACGACTTGGGCATAATTGATGTTCCAAATGGAATACATGGTGTGAAGTAGAAGTGATGGTTTGATGGTGGGATCAGTAAATATGTATCCTACTTTTTTTAGGGTATGATGTGATTGCTCAAGCTCAGTCAGGTACTGGCAAGACAGCCACATTTGCTATTTCCATCCTGCAACAGTTGGAGATTGAGTTCAAGGAGACCCAAGCACTAGTATTGGCCCCCACCAGAGAACTGGCTCAACAGGTATTGATAGTGTAGTTCAAAACTGCTTGCGTGTTGCGTAGGTTTCAAAACTGAAGAATTTTAGTTAGCGTAAATTGTTCCTATCAGAGCCCTTTTAATTGTCCGTTTGTTGCTGCATGCAGGGAGTTCTGTAGGTAGTTGAACAGGAACTAGGTATGCAGATAACAGTTGTAGAGTGGTTTCCCAACAGATTGAGAAACATTTCTCTTTAGGGTGGACCAGATGTGTACCCGTTTTTAAGTCTGAAAGCAGTTGTGCAGCATGAAAACTGCAGTGACATGTTAACATTGGACTCAGTAGTTTGATGCATCTGTTGCATGCTCTTCAAAGCACACAGTTACATTGGGATTGAAGTAAATCTTTTAATAAAATAAGCTTTATTACAATAAAAACTAAGGCACAGTATACACTATGAAATTTTAAAAACCATTTTATCTAGTTGTGATTATAGAGCTGCTTTTGTTATTTACACCTTTCTACACATTGACGAATAATACAGGATACATTATTGATGTATTTTTAGCTGGTATTTGTAGGGAGACAGGATGCCTGGTTTGAATAGGTACAAGAATGAGACATTTTAAGGAAATTCTATCTTGAAACAGTTCAATCTACATTTTAAGGTTGAAAGTAGTAACGTGCTGTGCATGCATGAAGGCTGTTTGCAGATGAGCTATTTGGTATTGTTTTTTGGAATTTTAGTCAATAGAACCTGGCGATTCTGTAGGATAATAATTAGGGCTTTTGGCTTTCAGATCCAAAAGGTAATTCTGGCACTTGGAGACTATATGGGAGCAACTTGTCATGCCTGTATCGGTGGAACAAATGTTCGAAATGAAATGCAAAAACTACAGGCTGAAGCACCACATATTGTTGTTGGTACTCCAGGGAGAGTATTTGATATGTTGAACAGGCGGTATCTTTGTAAGTATTGCGTTTTTAGAGCATGATTTGGTTTTACTATTAATAACTAAGGGAAGTCAAATTGTATCCAGGAATGATGGCAGGATGTTGTTTTTCACAGCTCCAAAATGGATCAAAATGTTCGTTTTGGATGAAGCAGATGAAATGTTGAGCCGAGGGTTTAAGGATCAAATCTATGAGATTTTTCAAAAATTAAATACAAGTATTCAGGTGAGCTTTATTTTAGCCTTGTCATAGCTGGAGATAGGGTGTAATGCAGGTACTGTTAATATTATAAAAATAAAGGTTTGTAGGTTGTCGATCTGCTTCGTTGATGCGTATCTCACTAGCTCAACTTGGTAGTAAGACATTTTTCCTTCAGCATTGCTGTGAAAGCCATGTAGCGTACTTGTGTGCCAACATATAATCATTGTCTTTTTTTAAGGTTGTGTTGCTTTCTGCCACAATGCCAACTGATGTGTTGGAAGTGACTAAAAAGTTCATGAGGGATCCAATTCGAATTCTGGTGAAGAAGGAAGAATTGACCCTTGAAGGAATCAAACAGTTTTATATTAATGTTGAAAGAGAGGTAATTTGCTTAATTGCTAGACATAAATACATAGTTTTTCCTTCTTGTAAAAGCACTGTGCTAAAATTACAGAAACTAGGACCATGTTTTGGTTTTTGTAATAATGCTAGCAGAGTACACACAAGAAGAAAAGTAACTGCACTAGATCCGAAAGACTGGGGTGGACCTCTTTCTTAATGTCCAGTGTCCTTTGTCTTAAGGTTTGGTGCGATAATGTTAAGCAGCCTGCTACAATGGAGTTCTAATGAGAGTTGGAAACTAACTAACTTTCTTTCTTTAAATATTGTAGGAATGGAAGTTGGATACACTTTGTGACTTGTATGAGACACTAACAATTACACAAGCTGTTATCTTTCTCAATACAAGGCGCAAGGTGGATTGGCTCACTGAGAAAATGCATGCCAGGGACTTCACAGTTTCTGCACTGGTAAGAGTTCTATACTTAGTAGCACTAAATTGAAATGTCTTTTCATTAAAGCAGGATTTAGACTACAATATAGCTGCTGAGTGCTGTGTTGTCGTTCCCCCTGCTTACAGTAAAGTTGTTTCTTATCTATCCCTGTCTGCTGTGCTCCTGTAGCAGCCCAGGGACGCTTGGTCTCATACATATCGATGAAATTAAATATTGACTTTGATTGGTGATTCTTGAATTAAGGTTCATTAATTTGCAGCATGGTGACATGGACCAGAAGGAGAGGGATGTGATCATGAGGGAATTCCGATCAGGGTCAAGCCGTGTTCTGATCACTACTGACTTGTTGGTAAGGGAATTCCTTTCTCCTTTAAAAAAAAAAGTTACCAAAAGGTATTTTTGGGCAAGGTTTTGTTTAGTAACCTTTACCAATTTGGGCTATTTGGGAGAGTAAAGAAAAGACCACACTCCACAGTGGGCTATACCACTTAGTATAGTTTGCTACTATTTTGTGGCCTACATTATTTATGTGAATATTAACTTTTTTGTGAATTGGAATTCGACCATATACCATTTTGTATTTCAGGCTCGTGGAATTGATGTACAACAAGTATCTTTAGTTATAAACTATGACCTACCTACCAATCGTGAAAATTATATTCACAGGTGAGTAAATGGCATCTTGACTTAAAATAAGGTGAAATAAATACACATATTGCTGTGATTTTTTTTTTTTTTCCCCTGAAAGGTAACATCAAATCTGGGAATTGATTTAGTAAAATGACCTTATAACTTAAGATGGAATTAAAGTTTTATTTGGGAAGATTTAGGTTGGTCAGAACCCAGTGGGAAGACTGGTCAGATACAGTGGGAAAACAATGTGTTGCCTAAATTGTGGCGTTTATACATAGTAATTAGGTTTTAAATATGTTGGTCCTAGCTTGAGGTTTTTTTTAGTCATGTTGCTCTTGTGTCCATGTGCTTTCTTGATCATGATTCCTCTATGCTTGGGATTTTCTTGGTGTCTTCTGGTAGCAATTTGAGTGATCCCTGGTTTAGTTATAGTGGCTTTATCCCTAAATAAATTGAATTGTACTTTGTTATATGATGTAAAAAAAGACTTTTTAAAAAATACAGGAGTCGATAGCAGCAGTTGATGACGAGATGGCGCTCAGAAACGGCGTTGACGTAATTTAGGACGTGGAATCATAAGCGAAACAGCACACTGTTTGAATAAAGAGCGAGTCGGTATTTATATTTGTTTTTCTTTTGTCATGATTATTTGATATTTTAAGTTGCTCCAGTCAAGGCATTTTTTTGTGTATCAGCCTGTTAGGTGGTTTTGTATTGTCTGTTTTCTATCAGAAAGGTAGAGAGATGTTTTGGAGGTTAAACACGTTTGAGTAATTTAGTTTACAACGTGTGAGACAAACTGAGCAAAAAAGCAGTGATAAGTTTGGGTTACCATACCAAATACTTGAGTTTTCCCACTGGAAAAATGATAGGTTTCAGTGAATAGTTAACCTTGCAGCATTTACATTTACAGTTCCAGAAGTGCGTCGAAATGGATTACATAACTTCTTTTTGTTTCATCCCTGGTGTTTACATCTGTCCCAGGCTGACATCTGCTCTTGGCTGGCCCACTTTGGTATGGGCTTTAATTCACTACCCCAAACACAATACTGTCATCTGCTTTATAAAAAATAATGCTCAAGACACCTGATAAAAATCTCATTTTGCAGCCAGACAGCCTTTGTGAATCCCTTTGGCACTAACTGCAAAGGAAGACTTTCTCCTCTAGATATTTTGAATAGCAGCTAGTGCTCCAATTAGAAGCACGAACTATAACCTTGGTAAAAGTAAACAGCAGCTGATGGTTAAACAAGTGGATCGGCATGTGCAGTGTTTGAGAAGTAATATTCTGATGGCTGATTTTTTTTTTCCCCCCTACACAGAATTGGCAGAGGGGGTCGATTTGGGAGGAAAGGTGTGGCTATAAACTTTGTTACTGAAGAAGACAAGAGGATTCTTCGTGACATTGAGACTTTCTACAATACTACAGTGGAGGAAATGCCAATGAATGTGGCTGACCTTATTTAATTCCTGGGATGAGATAGTTCTGAATGCCGTGCTCGCTGTTGCTGAATAGGCGATCACAACGTGCATTGTGCTGCTTTCTTTGGGAATATTTGAATCTTGTCTCAATGCTCATAACGGATCAGAAATACAGATTTCGATAGCAAAGCGACTTTAGTCGTGAGCTCTTGTGAGGAAAGTCACTGGCTTTATCCTCTTTAGAGTAGACTGTTGGGGTTGGGTATAAAAAAGATGGGGTCTGTAAAATCTTTCTTTCTTAGAAATTTATTTCCTAGTTCTGTAGAGATGGTTGTATTAGATGTTCTTTATCATTTAATAATATACTTGTGGACTAAAAGATATAAGTGCTGTATTAAATCAGCCAATTATGTTAAACTAGCATATCTGCCTTTATTGTGTTGTCATTAGCCTGAATAGAAAGGCCTTTAAGACTGATTTTTTTTTTTTCTAGAAAGCATTTGAATGCATTTTGTTTGGTATTGTATTTATTCAATAAAGTATTTAATTAGTGTTAAGTGTGAACTGGACCCTGTTGCTAAGCCCCAGCAAGCGATCATATCCTAGGTAGGGTTAATCCCCCAGTAAAATTGCCATATTGCACATGTCTTAATGAAGTTTGAATGTTAAATAAATTGTATATTCACTTTAAAGTTGAATTTGGGTCATTTTTTAATACCATAACATAACAGTTAAGCACATTGAACAACAGTGAGTTAACAATTCTGAGTTAATTGTTGCATCACAGTAGCACAAAGGCTGATCAGCTGTAGATGTTCATCAGCACCATCTGCTAAGCATTTATCCACTTCCTAAAAGAAACAGAAGGAAAGCGGTATTAGTAGTACTTTTTCAGGTGTAGTTGTTAGACTCTGTGAAGGGGCCTACTTACTTACCGCAATCTTTTCTGTAATAACAGACTTCTGTTTATCAGAAAGGTGGTTTTCTACAATCACATCGTGAAACTGGTTTATGAGCTGAGTTGCTGCATGACCTTCATCTATCAAATCCTGTGTAACGAAAATTGACATTTGCTATGTTCTCTTGTTTCTCCCTTCCCAGTAATAAATTGATTTTTACCTTCACTACAGCTTCTAGTTTGTCAAAAGAGCCACTCTGACATGCAGCAAATACTCGATCAATTGTGTCAGCTGGTATTACCTAAAAAATAGGTATTGTTTTTGGGTGAATTGAAAATGGCAAGGAGTCCGCCGAGTTCTACTTTGTTATTTTGACTCTAAGCTTAAGCATACTTTGTCCTCTGACCTGAATCTACATTAAGCAATCTCTTTACGTGCAAACTCTTGAGCACCAAATAGGTGCAATAGCACACAACCAACCACCATCTATTTTATTTGCTGCTTTTAGTTTTTTGCCACTTAGGTTGCTTGGTTCTGTGTGTGAAATACACAACACTTACTCTTTCTCACCAGGGAACTGGAAATATGTATGGTAATAGCACTCTTAATGATTTGTTGTACAAATTGGATATGCCTCTTGCTTCTTACATATGAAACTGGCAGAACAAATTTTATGTGTTGGGACAGATACTTGAAATAAAGGCCATAAAAGCTTGTAGGTGGTTGAAACGTAACTTGAAGTATTTTTTATCTGGCAAACTGAAAAGGATCAATTCTAGTATTAAACTACTCTGAAAGCACTGATATTCCCAGATTATATCCTTATTACACCATTGTATTTACTTAGTACAATTCTTGGCACACAGTAACCATGCAGTAATAATATACTTGGGTGAAAATCAAAAAGCCACAAAACTAGTATCCACAAAACTAAGAAAGTGCTCTTACCCCAGCAATGTCTGTGAGGACTTTCTCTGTGACTTCCTTTCCACCTGTTAATCGAGTAGCACTTTGAAGAAATGTGATGGCTTTTCTTAAGTCTCCTTCTGACACTTTAACCAGATAAGCTATTCCCTTAAGAGAAAGAAAGTTATTTTTTAACCTGTGATAGCCAATTAAGGTTTTTTAATAAAAGCAAGAGGAAAACACTATGGCTAGAGTCAGTGCACTATGGCTAGAGTCAGTGGGGAAAAAACTTAAGGTTTTTGGAAAACTAACATTGACAATTTATGGAGAAAGCCATCAGTCCAAGGGAAGGATTAGAGATTTCTTGCTCTGAAAGAAATTACAGAGCCAAAGAGATGTTCCACGCTCCCCTATTTTTTTTTTTTAAATCATGTGAAGTAAGTGAAGGGGAAAAAAACACTCTTAAAGTCTGTTATATAACAACGAGTAAGGCGCTAGAAATGCTTTATACCAAGTTAATTCTTGAAGTGGGATATTAGCTAGGAGACTAAAATCTTGTTACACAAGATGTGTTGTTGCAGTATTTGTGTTACACGTATGAAACCATCAGTTTTTAGTTTTTGAAATATGGATAGATAATAAGCCAGCATTAAATGACGGACCTAATTGTAACAAAGGCTGAACCTTAAATTCCTAGATATCCCAGCTCATTAATTTGCTTGAACTAGCATCAGGATGGATTACGGGCGTTTTCATATTCGTTAGAGGAATCAGTAATTATACTACCATTACCTCATTGCTAATTTTGACATTTTCCTTCTCAGCAATGTCTAGTAATCGCTGCTGTTGAGTTTTATCTGACAGAGGTTTGAAGCGGAATTTAGAACATCTGGAGGTTAGGGGTTCAATTATACTGTAAAAGATAAGATCAGAAAAAGCAAATCGGTCTAAAAGAATTTCCCAAAAGAACTCATTACTCATTAGTATTAAAAAAAAAAAAATTAAGATTTGATGGAAGAGAAATTAAAGAAATGTTGCCTTGAAAAAGTTACTAAATTTGTTCTCTATCTAAATGGGGTTATCAAAATTAGGCTGCCTAGCATCTATCTTCAGGGCAGTGTACTTACCGACTGACATAGTTACAGATGAGACAGAAACGGGTGGTTTTGGACTCTTTCTCCATGGTACGTCTTAAAGCTGCCTGAGCAGCTGAGGTCATGGAATCAGCTTCATCCAGAATCACAATCTTAAAAGGAGGACATGGTTTCCCACTGATTCGGAGAAACACATGGGAGTTCAGCATTAAGTAGTGTATACTGTTTTTATTAACAGCTTTATTGGGATATAATTCACATACCATACAATTCACCCATACAGTTCAGTGTGTTTTTTGTTATTTGTAGTGTCATGCAACCATCACCTGTTTTTTAAAACATTTTCATGACTCCATAAAGAAACCCGATGCCCATTAGGAATCACTCTTTCAACTCCCTGAGCCCTAGGCAACCACTAATGAATCTACTTTTAGTCTCTATACATTTACCTACTCTGGATATTTCATGTAAATGGAATCCTACTCAATGTAATAGCACAAATTAGTTACTTTCTACAAATTCTGAAGTATGTTCTGATAATAAAATTTACATGTTATGTCTAGGTTCCAAAAATTTAATTTTGGAACTTTTGGGACCTACGGAGTGTAAGGTGCATAAATATGTCATATTTACCTCAAGGCAGTTCTATTACAATTCTTCATAATTCCTCCTTTCACTCTAAAGTTGTTCAAGTTTGAACAAGAATGTTTATGGTTATCCTATGAAACACATACTGAAGTTTAAGTTATCTGACGGAAAAGTTTCCTTTTTTTTTTCTTTTAACTTTATGTTTTCTAATGCAATTGCAAAAATCAGGATTTTTTATGAGTATGCCACTAAACTCAAATATGATTACTACATATTCCTTAGACAAAATACCCACAGAAACCTTGACAGCTATGCAATTTAAAAGTTACTATAAAAATCATTCCTGGGCTTCAATAATTTAGATAAAAATACAATCTAACAAAAAAGAAATGGGAAATTTGGCACAAACTTGTAAAACAAATACAGTGGCATGCCATGGAGAAGAGAAGACATGCTTGCTTACTCTGAACGACTTCCTGACACAGTTAATTGAGCAAAATTCTTCACTTTCTCTCGAACTACTTGTATTCCACGTTCATCAGATGCATTTAACTCAAGAACTCGCAATCGAAAAAGTTCAGGCCTATGTAAAAATGAAACAAATATGAGACATTATGCAGCCTAAAAGTTACCCAGGTTTAAAATACATTTCAACATTTGTACACTTTGCGGTAGTTTAAAATTCACCTAGTGAACAATATAGATAAACTTCTTTAGCTTTTTTCTATTCATTTTTCAAACATATATATCACAATGTATAAATTTTTAAGTGAGTTTTCCACTCAGCATTGTATTGTAAGCATTTTACCATGTCATCCAAATAATTATAAATGCCATTTTAATAGGTTTATGATATTCCATCCTCTGAATGTACCCACTGTTGACTTACTTTCCTCTATTGTTAGACAATATGTTTTAAATACATTACAATTTTAAATAATGCTGCAGTATATCACACTTTGATTTCCACAATCAGTAACTGATTACTGAATTAATTAATAGTTTGTGTTTTTTTTTTAAAGTGAGGGTTGTTTTTTTAAAAGTAGCATATGCTTACTGAGAAAAATCTCAGAAATCAAAAGAAACTTAAAATTGACTGGCACACTTTGCCAATCCACTGTTTTGCAAGTTTTAGTTATTTTTCTACATGTATACAGGTTTTCCCTGCTATCCAAAAAGTAGAGCCTTCCTATAAAACTTTTCCTAAGCCAAAATGGCATAAAGTAAAGAAGAAATCACTGTTAATTCATAAGTGAAAAATTGTTGAGCATTCCCAGACCCAGAAATAACCTACCAAATCATACCAAATAATACATAAAACCTAAAATAATTCATACAGTGTTCACACACACAGGTCAAAGCTCTAGTGGCTCGATGCTGATTCTCTGGGAAAGGAGCTTGGCAAACCCACTCACTGCTTAGGGTGTGTGCTGCCTCTTTAATGGCTCACTGAAAAATGAGCTGCAAAACAAATGCTGAAGGCTAGCTTCACTTTTCACCTTTTTTTGTAAAAGTGAAAATCCTCTTTGGATTTGTTTCCATTAGTGAAAACAGGTACTAATATATAGGTCTTTTGTAAAAGTGGGGTGGCATAAAGCGACTTTCAAAAGGCAGGGGATACCTGTATACTTTGAATTAAAAAAAAAAAAAAAAAAAAGAATTGAGATTTATACTTTTGTCTTCATTTTTCCCAATTAATATATCCTAAGCATGTTCCATGGGCATAAATATTTAGGAAGTTTCTGTGTATATATTTTCTATTTTCTTTTAGTTCTATACAGACAAACATTATTTTATAAAAGATACAAAAAAGTTGTATTATTTTGAACTGACCTACTCCAGAATAAATAATAAATAACTAGCCAGTTTCTTATGACCATACTGCTAATGCTAGTTCAGCCTGCATCCAGTTTGAGTTGCAGAAAAATAAAAAATGCTCTTCTGTAACTTCCTTGAGAAACCTAAGTTGCCGTCAAAGAAAATATTAGGCTCACAGCAACTTCCTGCTTTGTTCTCTTTTACACTTCAACAAAAGTACTTATTCTTACATATCTGGTTGCTTCAGAGGCATCTCTGAAATTGTTATTTTCATACATAGGATTTCAGATGTACCCTTGGGCCATGTGCCCTAAAATTCTGGGTAAATTCAAGACAGCCACTGCTATCTTAGTACACGTTCCATAGATCTCAAACTTGAGCTGCTATATATTTTTTAAGTAAAGGGCTCTCTAGAACGACTGGCTAAATCAAGAGAGTGAGTCTTAGAAGAAGAACCAAAAAAGGTAGCCCACAGAGAGATTTTCTGGTGTACTGGGATCCTATCGCATCAGTTACTACCTAATCTGCTTACACTCTCAGGGAAGTGAGAGTGAAGGGCTAACCTGGCCACTCCAGACAGCAGGGCCTTGCAAGGCCAGACCAGAGGGAAATTAAGAGGGTAGGGGTAGGGGTCAGCAGCATCAGACACAGCAGATACTATCAAATAACCACACAGATGTGCAGGCAATCCTTAAGAGGATAGTGAAATGATCAGCATGACTGGAGATACATTGGGTCCTCTGGGCGCCAAAATCTTAAATAAGTTGAAGAAAATGATGAGGGGGGAAACCAAGGCTTTTACTGTAGTACATTCAAAAAACACTAGAACAATGAGGGTTACCAAGATGTAAGCAAGGTGATTAATTGGAAGGGGGAAGAAGTGAAAGGGGAATCGGCCCACTAGATTAATAAAATATTCAGAAACAAAAGACAAATCCAACAACCCTATAGAGAATCAAATGCAAATCTTTAGGGAAAGAAGCAATACCAGAGATTTTTGTTGTCAAGTCCTAAAAACAAAGAAAAAAGAAAGATTTCAACTTACCCAAAGAGTTCCCTAGCTGCTGCCAAAATAGTTGATGTTTTTCCAGTTCCAGGTGGCCCGTAAAACAAGAGATTAGGGAGCTGTGGAAGTTAAATTTTATTTTTTATAAATTGTATTCTGGCACAAACAGATGAAAATCATGACTAAAAATATCTGTGGAACAGATCAATAACTTCTGTAATAGAGTGTATATATTCTAAATAGAAAGATTTCTTAATATAATTGATTATCATGGTAATTAACAGCTCTAAATCCTGATTTTTCCCCCCACATGATACTATCACTTTTCCCCAAAATGCCTTTTTTTTTTCCCCTCTTTTTATTGTGATTTGGGGAAAGTTTACATAGCATAAAATGCCTTCCTTATCTCTTGAACTGACTCAATATTTATGATTGCTCCAGTGCCTAAGGGAGCTCTGGTAGCATAGTGCCTAAGGCACTTGACTGCTAACCAGAAGGCTGGCGGTTCAAACCCACCAGCCACTCCTTGGAAGGAAGATGGGGCAATCTACTTCCGTAGTGATACTGCTCAGAAACCCAAGGAGGGGTCGCTATGAGTTGGGGCCGACTCGACAGCATATAACAACTAATGCCTAAAACACTTAACTGCTAACCAGAAGGCTGGTAGTTCAAACCCACCAGCCACTCCTTGGAAGGAGGGTTGGGCAATCTACTTCTGTAGTGTTATGGCTTTGGAAACCCAAGGAGGGGTAGCTATGAGTTGGGTCCAACTCGACAGCACATAACAACAACAACAACTACACCTAATCCACTTAGGACTTTCAAAGCTGGAATTAAAAATCTCTCATTTTTTGTAAAGGGAATCCCAGTTTGTCATTTCCTTATTCTATACCTTTGCTCAGGATTGGAGCAGAGTCGGTATTTTACAAAGATATCAGCTGCTTTAAGAGGGGAAAGAGACCATTGGTGTAACTGAATTTGGCCAATACTGAGAAAAAAGTAGTGCAAAAAGCATGACAGGCTTTTTCCAGGAACAGAAACATTAAAAATAAACTAAAGCCCCTATCAAGTGCTGGGCACTGTTCCAGATGATGATTATGTACCATATGGGGATGTCTGCATAAATCAGACAGAATTCATCAGAGGGAAGAAGGATAAGATTAAATGATTAGCTTCTTCTCTTAATCTTGGATTTAGCCAGCTTGGCTACTATTAAGCTGGGTACTGATCTGTGGTAAAGATTAATAAATTAATCACTAAATTCTAATGAGCTCTATTATAAAACTATGTCCTTTCACACACAGAAATCAATACATATAGGAAATTAGGCAATTTAATTTATTTGCTTCAACTCTTGCTTAACCCTACCCACTCCCATCACTCTGCTTGATACTTAGAACTATTCACTGGCTTCATACTGAGGAAAAAAAACAAAACAAGCAACTTAGCATGATCAAAAGGAATTCCCATGATCTGGCCTACCACCTCCTTCACCTGCTAGGCTGCAGCTTACAGGCCTCCAGCCTACACATACACTGGTCTTACAACCTGGGGTCTGATTCCTCCTTTCTGCCTGGCCAACTCCTACTGCATTAAGTCAGATGTCTTCCCCAATCACCCAGTCTAAAGTGGGTCTCCCTGTTAGTCTGTCATCACAGGCTTTGTTGTACTTGCTGCAATTTGCATTTCTCGATTACTTATTTACCTATTGGGTTTAGTTGTAAAATGCCTCAGGATCTAATGGAATACTCAATTACCTGCAAATAAATAATCTAACATATAGACAAATATGTTAATCAGAAGACTATTACTGTTACATTGCTAAATCATAGCTTAAGATACAAACGATGTGATGTATACTTAAAAGCAAAACACAAACCTGCTAGGTCTCTTAGTTTTTAAGGTTATAACTATTATTTTGAACTGTGCATGTCTCAACATTTGTAATGATTCATCCAGGTAACTACCTTATAAAAGATTTCAAATAAATTTTTAAAAACATGATAAAATTTTAAACCATGCATTATATAATTGATAGATATATGTGGTACATTTCAGAAATGTAGGTTTAGTATCAGTTCTTAAAATTGATTCCTGAAAAAAAATCCTCTTATTATTTCTATAGGTAGTAGACAGTATAGGTACAAGAAATTCAAGTTAGGACACACTGCACTTAGGATCTTTCCTTTTTTTCTCTTTTTTTTTGTACATCTTATTGTTAGTAATTCAGAAGGAAGGTTGGACAATCTACTTCTGCAGTGATACCAACTCCAAAACCCAAGGAGGGGTTGCTATAAGTCAATCCAACTTGACAGCAGTGCTTTTTTTTTTTTTAATCGTTAGTAATATATACTATGGGAGCTCTGGTAGCGTAGTGCCTAACTGCAAACCAGAAGGCTGGTGGTTCAAACCTACCAGCCACTCCTTGGAAGGAAGATGAGGCAATCTACTTCCGTAGTGATACTGCCTTGGAAACCCAAGGAGGGGTCGCTATGAGTCGGGTCCGACTCGATGGCACATAACAACAACAACAACAACATGTACTATATACAATGTTGCAGCACATAATTTGCTGATTTTGACTCACAGATGACCAAAGATTGGATTTATAAAGATACTGATAATAAAAGGCAATTATAATGAAAACTAAGAAGAAAAAGAGGTATTTGACTTATGTCAGAACTGACTTGCAATGGAATCACTGGAAGGGAACCCTTTCGTAAGTCAGGGACTACTGGTCCTTTAAAACCCTTCAAAGAAAATGAAGGAAAGAATTATTTTAGAGTTTAAAGAAAAATTTCATCTTTCTTTAAGTTTTACAAAACTTTGTCAGAAAAGAAACTGAAAATATTAAACAAGATGTTAAAGATGGAAGTTCTTAACTCAGCCTCGTAAGTCAGATGGCATAAAGTCAAGAATTGGGTCATAATCTTACTACATTTGCTTATACAGCTGACCTTTGAACAACACAGATTTGAACTGCACAGGTCCACTTATACACAGATTTTTTTCAACAAATATATTAGAAAATTTTTTGGAGATTTGCAACAATTTGTAAAAAGTCGCAGATAAACTGCAAAGCCTAGCAATATAGAAAAAAAAAGATAAAAAAATAAAAATGTATGTCATGAATGCATAAAAATATATGTAGATATTTGTCTATTTTATCATTTACTACCATAAAATATACACAAATCTATTATAAAAAGTTAAAATTTATCAAAAACATTCACATATACTAAACAGACTGTATATGGTGTGCCTTTCAGTTGAGAAATAAATGTAAAGATACAGTATTGAATCATAACTGCAAAAAATTAATTGTAGTACATATTGTACTACTGTAATAATTTTATAACCACTTCTTGTTGCTATTGCAGTGAGCTCAAGTGTTGTGAATATCCACTTAGAACACCATGTGACACTAATCATCTCTGTGTGAGCAGCCTGTCTTTCCAGTAAATTGTGTATCACAGAAAAAGATGATCTCTTGTGGTTCTTGTGTATTTTTCATCATGTTTACTACAATACCATAAACTTTGAATAACACCACGGGACCCATATGAAGTGCCACTACTGTTGCTGGAAGTGCTCCCAAGAAGCAGAGAAAACTCAGGTCATTAGAAGAAAAAGTTGAATTGCTTGATATGTACCATAGATTGGAGTCTGTAGCTGTGATTTCCCACCATTTCAAGAAGAATGAATCCAGTGTAAAGATCAGTTAACAAAAAAAAATACTAAAAAAGGAATTTGTTAAGTACTTTTTGCAAAATACCTTTTTATCTCCTATTGAAAATGCAGCTTTTATGTTGGTGGAGGATTACTATAAGAAAGGCATACCAACAGACTCTAATATGATTTGAGAAAAAGCAAAGTCATTTTATGATAACTTAAAGCAAAAGTAAAGTGAAGACTTTAAAGCTAGAGAATTTAAAGGCAGCAAAGGATGGTTTGACAATTTCAGAAAAATGTCTGGCTTAAAAAATGTTAAGGTAACAGGAGAAGTAGCTTCTGCCAACCAAGAAGCAGCAGATGAGTTCCCATTAAGAAAATCATTGAGGAGAAAAGATATCCTCCTGAACAGGTTTTTAATACAGATGAAAAGTACCCTATTCTGGAGGAAAAAAAAATGCTACAAAGGACATTTATTAGTAAAGAAGGGAAGTGAACGCCAGGATTTAAGGCAGAAAAGGGTAGGCTAACCTACTGTTTTGTGCAAATGCAGTTGGGTTTATGATCAGGACTGCCCTATCTATACTATAAATCTGCTAAATCCCAAGCCTTTGAGGGAAAAAATAAATATCAGCTGCCAATCTTTTACAAGACGGCCTGGACAATGAGAACCCTTTTTCTGGATTGGTTCCATCATGCTTTGTCCCTGAAGTAAGGAAGTACTTTGCCAGTAAAGGGCTGCCTTTTAAAGTTCTTTTGATATTGGACAATGCTCCTGGCCACCCAGAACTGCATGAGCTCAATATTGAAGGAGTCATAGTGGTCTACTGGCCCTTAAATACAACATCATCAATTCAGCCTCTAGATCAGGGGATCATAAGGATCTTTAAGGCTCTTACTTACACATGGTACTCTACGGAAAGGATTGTTGATGCTATTGAAGACAGCATCATGAAAGTCTAGAAGGATTAAACAATTAAAGATGCCATGATTGTTACAGAAAAAGCAGTGAAAGCCATCAAGCCTGCAACATTGGATTTATGATGGAGCCAACAAAGGGAATCATGAAAGAGATTGTGGATATGGCAAAAAAGGTAGGGGGTGAAGGGTCTTTAGATAGGGATCTTGGAGAAATTCAAGGGCTAACAGACACCACACCAAGGGAATTAAAGGAAGACAACTTGGTGGAGATGAGTGCTTCCGAATAGATGATAGGAAGATGTAGAAGAAACGGTGCCAGAAAACAAAGTAACATTAGATAATCTGGCAGAAGGTTCCAATTATTTAAGGCTGCTTTACCTTCTTTTATGACATGGACCCTTCTATGATACAAGTGGAGTGCTGGTGGCATAGTGCCTAAGGCATCTGACTGCTAACCAGAAGGCTGGTGGTTCAAACCCACCAGCCACTCCTCAGAAGGAAGATGGGGCAACCTACTTCCATAGTGATACTGCCTCGGAAACACAAGGAGGAGTCATTATGAGTCAGATCCGAGTCAATGGGAGTGAGTTTTTTGAGATGATACGAGCACTGTAACTAAATGAAATGGTGGAAGAAGGACTGGTACCATATAGAAACATTTTTAGAGACATGAAAAAGCAAAAACATCAGAAATTATGATATATTTCTATAAATTCACACCAAGTGTGTCTACTTCTACTTCCTCCTCTTCCACCTCTTCTGCTTCTGCCACCCAAGACAGCACAACCAACCCCTTCTCTTCCTCCTCCTTTTTAGTTTGCTCAATGTGAAGATGAGGGTGAAGAACTTTATGATCCACTTTCACTTAATAAATAGTAGATAATCATGCCATACATTTAATAAGCCTATCTGTTGTATATGTATTATCTTCATGGGAAAAATCTAATAACTGTATAGCAAGATTGTGTTAATTGACTGTCTATGTTATCAGTAAGGTTTCCAGCCAACAGTAGTCTATCAGGAGTTAGGTTTTTGGGGAGTCAAAACTTATGTGTGGATTTTCGACTCTGTAGGATGTTGACACCCCTGACCCCCCCACAATGGTCAAGGGTCAATGCTAGTTGAAAATACCACTCAATAAAATAAATCTTTTCTTGCCACCTGTGAAAATATAACTCTGTAATTAAAATTGCATTATAAAAACAAACCAAACCCACTGCCATTGAGTCAATCCTGACTCATAGCGACCCCCCCGCTTTGGGTTTCTGAGGCAGTAAATCTTTACAGAAATAGATTGTCCAGTCTTCCTTCCACAGAGTGGCTGGTGGGTTCGAACCACCAACCTTCTGGTTAGCAGTCAAATGCCTTAGGCACTATGCCACAAGAGCTCCATGAAATTGTATATTACTATAAAATCAAAAGATATAAGAGTCCTTGCTTCAAATAAAAACAAATAGTAGTAAAGAAAAACATCTTAAATAGTTTTATAGATATAACTTCTTTAAGAATATGTTCTGTAGTAGAGTAATTCCAGGAAGAGTAGTGATGGCATCTAAAACCAAAAATAATTTCTAATTAAAAGCAGCCAGCCTTAAGGGGCAGGTAGCAAATCTTGGAGTTGGGTCCGACTTGACGGCACATAACAACAACAACAACAACAAATGAGATTAAAAACAATTTTCTACTCACATCGGCTCCTTCTAAAGACTTTTTCAACACAGCAACCACCTCTTCCTGGAAAGCAACTTCATCCACACACTTTGGGCGACTGGAGGAAAAAAAAGAGAGATTATTTAAAATATTACAGTAGTCACAGAAAAGTCTTAAGTGTTGCTTCTGCTAAAATATCAATGATGAATCTTACATTGGTAATGAAAAGACAAATTGTTTTATAATTGTTAAGTAGTTGGAAATCCCATTTGTATTCACCTTAAGCAAATAAAGACTAAAGGAGTAAAATATTTCTCACTTCCTATCTGCATATTAGGAGCTCTGGTGGTATAGTGCCTAAGGCATTTGACTGATAACCAGAAGGCTGGCAGTGCAAAGCCATCAGCCTCGGAGGAAGGTTGGGCAGTCAATTTTTGTAGTGATACTGCCTCGGAAACCCAAGGAGGGGTTGCTATGAGTCGGATCCTAATCAACAGCAGTGAGTTTCTTATTTGCATATTTGCATCATTATGTTAAGATGTGAAAGGACTTTATTTTACTACACCATAAAAGCCAACTGATTAACAGTTAGAGTGAATACTTGCCTAGAAAATATTATGTTTTGAGAAGACCATGGACTTAAGCTCAGAGGGGAGCACTGTTTAGCAACCTCAGGTTAGGCACCTCTAAAGTTGTTAATACTAGTATCTTCCAACACCTTACGACACACAAAAAAATGGAGACCTGTTCATTTCATTGAGGATGAACAAGTTTAAACAATATGAAGTATAATAAAATTATTTAATTTTACTCTCACATTGTTAACTAGTGATTTCAAGAGACTGTAGAACAGAGTTATATTCCCAACACTAAGATTAGGCATTGGGCTCAATTAATTAATCAAAGGCTTTTCTTTGATCTATCCTTTTTCTAATTAATCAGGACACTGCTAGGCAGGAATTATGTAAGATAATGTTTTATAGGGAAACCAATATACTGTATGCCTAGTTCCACATGGAACTAAGACTACCATTGCTGATGTCAGATGAATCTTGACTAAAAGCAAAGAATACAGAAAGATGTTTACCTGTATTTTGTTGACTATGCAAAGGCATTTGACTGTGTGGATCATAACAAATTATAGATAACATTGCAAAAAATGGCATTCTAGAACACTTAATGGTGTTCACAAGGAACCTATATATATACCAAGAGGCTGTTGTTCAAGCAGAACAAGGGGATACTGTATGGTTTAAAATCAGGAAGGGTATGCATCAGGGTTGTATCCTTTCACCAACTTATTCAAGCCGTATGCTGAGTAAATAATCTGAGAAGCTGGACTATATGAAGAAGAATATGGCATGAGGACGAGAGGAAGACTCATTAACAACCTGTGATATGCAGATGATATAAGTTAGCTTGCTAAAAGTGAAGAAAACTTGAAGCACTTACTGATGAAGATCAAAGACTATATACTCTTCACTGTGGATTACACCTCAACATAAAGAAAACAAAAATCCTCACAACTGAACCAATAAGGAACACTGTGATAAATGGAGAAGAGATTGAAGCTGTCAAGGATTTCATTTTACTTGGATCCATAATCAACACTAATAGAAGCAGCAGTCAAGAAATCAGATGATGGACTGCACTGGGCAAATCTGCTACCAGAGGACTTTTTAAAGGACTATGGAACAAAGATGTGACTTAGAAGGCTAAGGTGCACCCAACTCAAGCCATACTATTTTCAGTAACCTTATATATGTGTGAAAGATGGATGATGAAGAAAGAACACTGAAGAAGAGTTCATGCCTCTGACTTGTGGTGTTGGCAAAGAATATTGAGACTACCATGGACTGCCAGATGAATGAACAAATCTGTCCTGAAGAAGTACAGTCAGAATGTTCCTTAGAAGTAGGAATGGCTAGACTTCGCCTCACCTACTTTGCTCATGTTGTCAGAAGGGACCAGTCCCTGGAGAAGGATATCATGCTTGGTAGAGTGTCAGAAAAGGGGAAGACCCTCAGTGAGATGGACTGACACAGTGGCTGCAATGATGGGCTCAAACATAGCAAGCACTGTGAGGATGGTGCAGGACCAAGCAGTGTTTCTTTCTGTTTGACACAGGGTTGCTATGAATTGGAGCCAACTCAACGGCACCTAAGAACAACAACAACAACAACAACAACAACATACTGTTTAAACCAGCATCTCATAATCAAATATATGCTGGGGTCAGGCACATACTGAGAGTGAAGAGAGTGTAAAACAAGAGAAAATAGTGGCAAACTGAGGAACACATGCCTTTTCCAAAATGAGAAGAAATACTCAGGTCCACCAATTGCTGTCAAATGAGAATCTGCATCCCGAGTGCAGAAAAACTAGATTTTTATGTGAAAATTTCCATTTTTTTCCAAAGCCTTCCAATTAAGACATATGAGGGCTTTATGTGACCTATACATCATCTGCAAACCCTTGGTAAAAATTAAGCCACATCCAGTATTTACAATTGCTTTAATTATCTGGTGATGCAGTGGTTAAAAGTGTTTGGCTGCTAATAGAAAGGTCAGCAGTTCTAATCCAGCGGCCACTCTATGGGAGGAGAAAGATATGGCAGTCTGCTTCCGTAAAGATTACAGCCATGGAAACCCTAAGGTACAGTTCTACTCTGTCCTATAGGGTTGCTATGAGTAGTAATCTACTCAATGGCAATGGGTTTTTATAATAATATTGCTTAGCTGATTGACAATTTATGGCAATCAAGTTTATGTAAATTAGTGTTTTTGCAAAAAAAGCATAAACAAACAATTTTCATCTCAGTAAGGAAATGGGGAACAAATTATTTGAACTTAAGTAAACTGCTGAACAAGAGCTTATAGAAACTTTGTTTTCTTCACAGCTCCATCCCTAGTCCCTAAAACTACTTAGTGTAGAGAAAATCTTTGTTCATCTATAAATAAGGGAATTGAACTAGAGCATTCTAAAGCATCTTTCAGTTTCAAGTCTCTATGACTTAAACAATTGGGTGATTTTCAAAGACAATATTGAAGCAAAGCGAACCATCCCCCTTAAGTAAAACAAGTGATCAGAATTAGTTGTTGTTGTTATTAATTGCAGTGGAGTTGATTCTAACTCATGGCAACCTCATGTATGCAGAGTAGAACAGCAGCAGAGTTTTTAAGACCATTTGGAAGCAGATCACTAGGCTACCAGGTTTTCTGAGGTTTAAACTCTGGGTAGGCTCAAACAGCCAACCTTTTGGCTAGTAGTTTGCACCACTGAGGGACTCCTTCAAAACTGGTTGGAGGTCATTTGTTAATTATTTAAACACACACACACAAGTGTACTTACTATTTTTCTACCCATGGAACAGGTTTGGCTTTCTTGTTCTCTCCACTGCTTCCTGCAGTGGCAGCAACTCCTCGATCCTTGGTCAGTGGTGGTTTAGTACTGATAGATGCACCTTTTAGAAATGCCTGCATGGTTACTTCACCCTGACCAATGGAAGACAGAAAAGGAAAAGCTATTTTGCAATCATTATGAAGAAGTACTGCCTGAAAGCACACTTAACGTTATGCAAAGGCATTCTATAATTATATACTAACTTATATATAAAAATAAAGGACATCACCTCATGGGTTAGGACCCTCTGAATGCAGTATATTGAGTGCTACAGGGACATAAAATAAGCCAAAGTCCTTATAGAACTTGGAATCTATATATAGTAAGGGAGTTCTTAAACAAAGATAAATCTTACATCAGAACCCAAACACCATTTCTTAAGCATTCCAAGCTCTGGTAAATATGATGTCACTAATGCCCACACTAGGAGCTCTGGTAGCATAGTGCCTAAGGCACCTGACTGCTAACCAGAAGGCTGACAGTTCAAATCCACCAGCCACTCCTCGGAAGGAAGATTGGGCAATCTACTTCTTTAGTGATACTGCCTTGGAAAACCAAGGAGGGGTCTCTGAGTCGGTCCGACTCGATGGGAAACCACCACAACAATGGCCACACTGCACATGGGCCTTTATAGTCTCTTCCATTTCAGTCCAAGACTTGGCCCTAGCTCAGACTCTGGTATAAGCTCGGCAATCAGGAGTGCTGGGACCACAAATGAGAACCTCCACAGCTTTTCCTGAGCATAGAGCTCTACTCAAGAAACATTTTACTGGCAGAGCCAATGACTGTCTTCAGAAGACTTTTTGTTTTTCTTTTGTGGGGCAGGGGATTCTGCTGTTAAAATGGAAACAGCTTTTATTTTTTTCTTTTTAAATAACATGTTCATTATGAGAAATCAGAACAATGCCACTGAATTGTACATGTGGAAACTGTTAAATTGGTTTATGTTCTGTGTACAGTTGCAACAAAAACAAATGATATATTCTTAAAAAATCAAAACGCTGAGAAGAATGAGGAATTAAAAATTCCTAAGAAATCTCACCCAGAGACAACCACATTCAGGTACATTCTTCCAGGCAGGGGAAAGGTTGTTGTTAGGGATAGGAAAACATCATTAGGTTGCCCGAAAATTCCCTGCATTAGTGGCAATTGTATCCTGTTCCTCCCAGTGTCTAGAACAGTGGTAGGAACTCTATAATATTTAGTCAACGAATTACCATCTAAAAGACTCAATTTATCTTTCTGCCAAAGAAGCTAAGGTCTATTCCATAAGGTAACAGAGTTAAACTAAAAGAATATGTGTGTAAACATATAGTTCTGTGCTTGGCATATCGGTATATGGTTACTGTCTGAAACAGTCAAGGTTTTTAACGTTATTACTGAATTACCATATGCTTGTCACAGGCTGCTAAACAGTAACAAAGCCCAAAGCAAGGCTCTGAAAGATAGCGTACTGCACCATCATTGCAAGACGGAGCGCAGACAGATAAGAAGATTGGCTATGCTAGAGGGCTAGAGCGCCGCTGTGCACGCTAGGCTGGGAGGTGAGACATCATAGATGTATCAAAGGTAGAGGAGTACAGGAAGGCGAAGATAACCCTTGCAATTTTTCCCGCCCGGCCACCTGCAATCTCCCAGTCGGCGCGCCGGTAATCTGGCACAACCTGGGCCTTTCAGCCACTTGTCTCCGCAGCAAGGACGATGCAGGCTCGTTCCAGAAGTTTCTGGTATATAGATAGGGCACGTTGGTCGCAGAGTCAGCTTCTTTCCCGAGTCTGAAAATAACAGGTCCAAGAAACTCCGAGACGGGAGATCGGGTGAAATTTACAGTCGCCGCGTCACTCCAGCCGCCTAAGTTCCCGCCACGGAAGGACCGGCGTAGAGTAGGGCGGGAATTCGTGGGGACGCAACGCGTCACTTCCGGTCTGTACTGTTTACCCCCGCGCCCCAGAGGTGGGCGAAGATTTGGGCTGGAGGGGATTTATGCATCGTTTCATTTAAACACCTTGAGGACACCCACAGACTTTTACAGATACATAGTTTGGAACAAACTTGCCTAAGGAAATGTGAATAAAAGTCCACTCTGTCCCCGTGCATTTCTCCGACAGAAACTGCAGGGCCAGGACGCTCCGGTCACTTACTGGACTGCTTCCGAACGTGGGCAAGGAGACATCTGCTTTGGCGGGTGGGGCAGAGCGCTCACCCGGTTCGGGAATTCCGCCGCCCACCGAAGGTCTCAAAGAGGACTGCTTTTTAGGTGCGAACTTGCAGAACCTGTACTGCATTGTGAACTTCCTCTTTAGTCACGGGGCGTTTCACTGGCATTTCTGCGGAGACAAGACTCAGGTTTGCTAGCACAAAGGAAGAGGTTGGGGAAGCTGGAGTTGATCATTTGCCGGAAGATGGCATCCTGCGGGTCCCTGTCCTCTTCCCCTGGCTTAATCGCGGAGCAAAATCCTCTGTGTACTTCAAGGGTAAGCCCAGAGACTAAAGAAAGTGCTATTTTCCGTCCTCTTGAAACACATACAGGAGCTCTGGTAGCTAGCGTAGTGTTTCCGGCGTTTGACTGCTAGCCAGAAGGCTGGTGGTTCAAACCCACCAGCCGCTCCTCGGAAGGAAGGTTGGGCAGTCTACTTCTGTAGTGATACCACCTTGGAAACCCAAGGAGGGGTCGCTGTGAGTCAGATCTGACTCGACGACAGTGTGTTTTTGCGTGAAAGCACATGGTTTAACCTTTCTATATCTGCTTGTTGCCGAGAGGGAAGAGTTTGCCCTTCAGCTATGGTCATCTTTAAAAGCCCAGCTCAGAATCTAGTGGTGCCTGCGCTCAATGAAAGTTAAGAGATGAATGAAAACGTTTAACCCCACCAGGATACTTGCATCGTGGCTCTAGGTAGGTCACTCCTTTTATCTTTCCTCAGTACTTAATTTAGTTCTGAATTGTACTTAAATCCTGTTGGAATTAGACCATTTTCAGATGCTTACCTTCTGCAGGACTTTACTAATTATCCTAACTCATAAGGTTGATCTAAGTCTTTTCTAAATGAAATGACTGTAACCTTTGTTTGGCACATAGCATGATAAAACCGGTTGCTGCAGAGTTGATTCTTATTCATGGCGACCCCATGTGTTACAGAGTAGAACTGCACCTTAGGTTGTTTTTTTTTTTTTGGTGGTGAAAACATGTACAAAGGGACATTCGCCAGTATAACTTTTACATTTACAGCTCAGGGACATTGATTACGTTTTCATGTTGTGCCACCATTTCTGCTGTTCTTTTCCAAAATATTCCACCACCTATTAGCATAAACTCAATGCCCCCTCCCCCCGTGACCGTAATTTTAACTGAGGTGGCCTGGTGACACAGTGGTTAAGTGCTTTGCTGCTAACCAAAAGGTTTCTAGTTCAAACCCACCAGCCACTCAGCAGGATAAAGATGTGGCAGTCTGCTTCTGTAAAGATTTGTTGTTGTCGTTATGTGCCCTTGAGTCGGACCATAGCGACTCCTTGGGTTTCCCAGGCGGAAACCTTCATTCTGAGGAGTGGCTGGTGAGTTTGAACCACCAGCCTTCAGGTTAGCAGTCAAATGCCTTAGGCACTATGCCATGTGCCTTAAATTCTTAACTTTGTATTTCACCAATACCTGAGGATTAAATGAGATGGACTTGCTAGCACAGTGCCTAACTCAGTGTAAACTTTCACTCATGTCAGCACATTGGTGCCATCCATTCTATAGGATAAAGCCCTAGATTCAGGTTCTCAAGGAAGAAGCTTCTTTAATGCAGCTCCTGTTCCCTCGGTGAAAATGACTATGTTAAAGTAATGGTCCTAAAAATTTGTATATAGAAATTTTAATTTTTCTTTTTAACATTGGAAAAGTGAAAAATCTAGATGGGATGAAAACAAAAATATAATTTTCCATTTAAAATCTATAGAGAAAGCTACCACTGAACTAGGAGCTCTAGCGTGGACCCATTGTGCCATCTAGTGGATGGGAAGGAAAAAGACACCAAAAAATGTTTTCTGTTAAGTATAATTTAAACTCTACTGAGTTCACTCTGGGAGCTCTGGTAGCGTAGTGCCCAAGGCACTTGACTGCTAACCAGAAGCCTGGCGGTTCAAACCCACCAGCCACTCCTCGGAAGGAAGATGGGGCAATCTACTTCCGTAGTGATACTGCCTCTGAAACCCAAGGAGAGGTCGCTATGAGTCGGGTCCGACTTGACGGCACATAACAATAACAGCAACAACAAGTTCACTCTAACTCACTGCCATCCAGTTGGATCCCACTTATAGCGACCTCCCCTTGGGATTCCAAGGCCGTATCTCTACGGAAATAGATCACCCAATCTTCCTTATGAGGAGTGGCTGGTGGGTTTGAACCACCAGCCTTCTAGCTAGAAGTCAAATGCCATAGGCACTGCACCACCACAGCTCCCACTAGGTGTCGCAAATGGCTAAGGACTTGACTGTCTGAAAGGTTCGTGGTTCTAACCCACCCAGAGCTCCTCGAAGGACAGGCTTAGTGATCTGCTTCCAAAAGGTGACAACCTTGAAAACCCTATGGACCAGTCCTACTCTGCACACATGGTGTCAGCCTGAGTTAGAATCAGTTTGACAGCAACTAACAACAGTGGCAGCTGAGTTAACTTGTTAATTATTTAACTTTGTAAAACAAAACAGTATTCTAAATTTCCTAAAACATATATATTTACAAAACATGAACTTAAATGTCATCTGTGGAGAGAAGAGAGAATGCTCTTGAGTTCTTATCATCATGGATTTTCATGGTCTGTTATCCATCTCTACCTAGCACTTTGTATTTATTTTGGCACACAGAGTGTGAGTACCCCAGAGCCTCTGAGGGTCATGTTTTTCCCCAAAATACTGGGGAAAATTAGTGGGGAATAAAATCATTCCATTTATTTTTCAAAAATGTACGCACCAACTTAAAATGTTGATGTAACCAAAATGAATATTTTTCAAGGGCCAGTGTGCTTAATTGAGGTTTTTGCTAGTGTGTGTATGTGTGTATGTTCTGTTTTTATTTCTCAGGTTATTCTCCTAGTTGTCTTGGAAGATTTCCATTT